CCTTTGCATCTCAGTTTTATAGTTTGCTTTTGATTAATTAAGCTTGCAAGCATTTTATAAACATTGATAAATTTGGAGGGTCATCAGAACAGTATTGGAACCTTTTGTGTCTGCAGAACTGTGCTGGAATTCTTAGAGAAACAACTCTTCTTTTAGCATTTGGATATTTCTGCTTCCAAGCCCAAATGGAACTTGGAAGTGCAGAGACATATTATAAAAACAGAGTGAGAGAGAAATGACTAATAAAAAAAATATGAGTACTTTTTTCAACATCATAAAAGGTTCAGGCTAATATTTGTTTTGAGTTTCAGAACACGCTTGACACATTTTGAGTCAACTCTTATCTTAACTTCTTGCCAGGCTGGAAAGAGAGACAAGTGGCTTAAGAGAGAGAAATCCAACATCCGATAGTAGCTTCTCCTCACTGACACTCCCTTAGACACTCCTCCTTGCAGTGCAGAATGAGCATATGGACCTACCATTAGTCCTGAATGAAGACTCTGTAAAGATCCAAGGACAGAGCAGCCAGGCAGGTATGCCCCTCTGTAGTTCCTGGGCAGTAAAGAAGGCTTCAGTGAGGAAGAGTCAAAAGATTTGAAGCCCTGTGAATTCAGTATCTTCAGCTAGCTGCGGAGCCATAGTCATTGTCCTAAGCAATAGTTTGAGGAATGGTGGTAGAAGTGAAGAGAAGCAAAGTGGGATAAACTGCACCGGAGTCCCATCCCTCTGACCCAAGGTTGGGAGTTGATTTTACCACTCCAATCCACCTGCCTCATTCTTAGAGCACACTTAGATTTTATTGGCATTTATAGATGTGCTCCAGGAAGTGTGTGTGTGTGTGTATGGGGGGAGGGGGGGGGGGGGGCTTTAATTACCAGGGCTCTGACAGGCATACTAATTACAGCACCCAGAGTGTCATCATGTGTATCAGCACCCTCATGCTGGAAAATGGCAGCAGGGTGATTTAACTAAAGCTTGTCAAATGAGCTTTAGTTAAAGTGCCCCCTTTGCCATTTTTCAGTGCAGGGATGCTGATACAAGTGACACTGGAGTCCGCTGGAGTGTGGTAATTACCTCCCTCAAGTCTCCCTGAATATGTATAGGAGCCCAATGTAACTGAACTGGGTTCCAGCCCCAGACAATGCAAAATTGTGTTTAGATATTTGAAGAAATACTTAAAATATGATTTCTCAAGAAACAGTTTTCACTTTTATCTTGGATCACATTGTCAGAGTTCAAACCACAAATGAAGAAGGTTTTCCTGCCTTCATCACTCAGTTGCATTGTGTGCCTACTTTCTGGCTTCACCTACAGCAGTGTGAAATAGTTACATGATCTAAAGTGCATGGCTCTAAATTACCAATAGTCATTTTGCTTTGGAGAATACCAGCACTGCTGAAACCTCAATGAACAGTGTTATGAATCATTCAGAACAATATGCCTTCGGTTTTTGTACTTCTTTAGAATAGCTGGGACATAGAGTGAGTAGTATGGGAGATAAGAAGAGCTTGGGAAGAACTCTGCAGTCTAAAGCAGGTGGGTATTGGAGTGAATCATACTCAGCAGCAGGAGAATGAAGTAGTGCTCCATAACTGGCTTAGTTGTAAAAGAAGATTAAAGAAGCTGGGATAAGTGTATGGAGGGAATACAGAAAGGGGAATTATGGTTGCCCAGTAAAAGGGTGTGATGTGTGAAGTTGTGCTTGCTGTGTCCAGGTCACAGAGCAGAATGTATAGTGTTTGATGCTTTCCATTCTTCTAGGCTTTGCTGGTTACCACATGGGGAATTTCCCCCCTGAATTTTGGGGGGGGGGTGTTTTTTGAGACTTTCTCAGAAGCACTGGGTGTTGGCTGCAGCCAAAGCTGGAGATTTTGACTGGTTGGGACTTAAACCTGGAGATTCCTTGTTAGAGGGTCTTGTCCCCACCCCAGGTCATACCAATCACCATATTTAGGGTCAGGAAGGAATTTTTCCCCAGATTCAGATTGGTATGGATTATGGGTATTTTTACCTTCTTGTGTAGAGAGGAGAATGGCCCTCTTCTTTGGTTCTCTAGAGCATATTTTAACAACCTTTGTGGCATCTTGATGTTGGCTGCTGTGGTCCCTTTGCTTTACCTTTGGCAGGTTAGGGTGTTATGTCTTGTGGTTGTGTTGGGGTTGATTGTGTAGTTTTGCTAATGGGCTAAACAATTGATTTTTATAGGATAGTTCAGGCAGGGGTTGGACTAGATGACCTCTCAAGGTCTCATCCAACCCTATTTTTCTATGATTATGTGATTTCTATTTAAAGTGCTTGCCTCACTGCCTTTATGTACCGAGCTTTGGATTATGGTTTGTATAGGAAACAAACATAACTAAAGGGAAGTCAAGAGATCCTATAGAAAACAGGGACATTTTTGAGAGAATCACATCTGGTTTCAGATATGTGCATACAGTATAGTGGAACTTGCTTCAATGAATTCCTGTGATATGCCTCTTACAGTCATATGAATAAAATCTCCCCTGTGCCAGAGGGAAAAATAGAAGAGATTAGGAACCCATAACTGCATAAATGTGTTAGACATAATAATGTGCTGTGGCTGCTGCTGTTGCTACACACAATAACTGATCAGCTTAGCCCATTCATACTGGACCACAGCTCAGGGGTAACATAACATAACAGTTCATTTCCTTGGATCAACATGGGACATATTAAAGAACAACTTTCCAGGCAAGACTAGGCTTTTTAGTTTCAGATAACTCCATCTTCTGCTCCAAGGGTCATTCTGAAGTCTAATAAAATAATGAATCCCTACTGATTGACTAATCTTCCTTCTCCACAAGAGTTCTAAACATTTTCCTCTTCAACTTAGTGAAGGAACACGTGAGTACATGAACGCCGCATGCCCCCGGAGGCTGGGGAGGGCAGGGCAAGCTCCTGCAGGTGGTGGTAGAACTATTGGCAGCAGGAGCATGGCGGCAGCAAGCAGGGAGCTCCCACAGGTGGCTATGGCACTGTCAGTAGCGTGGAAGTGGGTGAAGGGGTGAGTGGTGACTTCCCGTAGGTACTGCTGGCAATGTCAGTGGTGCCTTTTTACAGGGGGTGCACTGCCATGCTCAGGGTGTGCACATGCACCTGTGTTTACCCCCTCTACACATCGCCAATGTCTGAATAACTTGGCTTCATGGAAGAATTATCTACTAATATTCTAGAGATAGCCTTGAACTGCCAAAATCTACTCTTGCTTCCAGTCCCTAGTGCCCCCTGACCATATACAAAGTTAGTGGGTATTTGGATTATACTGGAATTTAGTTCAACCATTTATAGGTATAGGAGAATCTAACATTTGGATCTTCTTGTCAAGTGCTATGTGAATGTCAACTGAATCCTTGTACCCCAGCTGTATTGCTTGGAAACTGGATCTTTTTAGTGCATTTTTATCTGATGTATCACATACGCTGTCAATCCCTTTTAGAATATTAACTTTTAGGAGCAGAGATCATTTTATGATTATGTAGTTTCAATGTGGTCCTAAAGGTACCAACCAAGGTGAGGGACTCATTGTCCCATAATGTTTACAGCTTAAATTCACAAGATAAGCAAATGGTGGGAGAAGGGCTTATTATCCCTATTTAACAGATGGAGAAGAGAGACACAGAGGCTAGGGACCAACATTTAGAAAGCCTGAGTCTGAATTGATTTAATCTTTGCAGGTTAGTCTTACCTGGCTAGGCTAAATCACTCTGTAACTGGACAGACATCTCAGACGTGTAGGCACATGCCTGCAGTGGCTCAGGCTAGAAGCTAGGGGGTGCTAGAGCAGCCCTCCCTTCCCTTCCACAGGGCTGAACTGAGGGGGATGTGGCCAGGCCTCATTAGGATTAGGAAGAGTTTCCCCCATTCCTTGATAACAGCATTTATCCGCAATGTTATCAGCATTCATCACCCCCATCAGAAAACAAACAGCCTCTCTCATTAGTTCAAGCTCTTCTTTAACAAAGAAGGAACAGAGGGATATTACCAGCTGAGATGTTGTTCAGCTCCACAAAGCCCTAAGCCGACACTGCTGTCTGCCATAGCACAGGACTGTAGCCAGCATGTGGCCTGCTAGTTAATGCTGAGGTGTCTGTGTAAGGCAGAGGGGATGAGGGATTCTTGCTTAACAGGGAGTGGTGATGGGAGGGAGAAAGCAGGAGGAAGCCAAGCAGATGCTGCTATGCCTACAAGTCTCTGCTGGAGCTGCATCCAGGGAGCAGAGGGGAGGGGCCAGCACTGCTGTGGAGCAGAGAGCCCTGCTCAGCCCAGAGAGCATGCCAGGATGCTGGGGGAGTCTGATTTAACTTAAACCAGCAAGGGGTCTGAGACAGATATTGTTTAAATCGGTTTGACCAAAATCAGTTAAGTCTGATACTACATTCAACCAAGTTTATCTCAAACCAGTTTCAGCTTTTCAGACTGGTTTATGAGCAGTGAACATCTGTTTTGTTACAGGTTTAAACCAATTTCTGATTACTTAAACTGATTTATGTGTAATGTCTGTCCCTAGCCAGAGGGATTATACGCTGCATGCTGGTGGTGCTCAACAAACAATATTTATAAGTGATAAAGGAGAAAATCTAAGCACAAAGGCATGGCGTTGCACTCGGCACTGTCAAATTATCTGTGTAATAGACACAATTCAAATTATTTATTTTCAAAACATGATACCAACAGTGTAATTATTTTACAAATCAGAGAAAAATCTAGAAGCTGTAGGAGATGGAACCAAGTCATGGAGTCTAGAGCTGTATCAAGACCTCTCCACTTTTAAGAGATATTGGATCTGTTCTCCCATTCTAGAAGTGGGCCTGCATCTAGGAGCTTGGCTATAGATCAGGTTCTGAACTTCTCCAAAGTTCATGGGAGTCTGGATTCTGGTTCAGGTCTACTGCTGAGAATGAAATATTTTCTGGAACTTAAATTATGATATTATACAAAAAAAAAGGGGGTGGGAAAAAGAAAATCTGTTGTCTTTCTAGGTTGTCCAGGGGCCAAGAAGAACGAGTTCCTGACCAGTGTTCTAGATGCACTTTCCACAGATATGGTACACGCAGTCTCTGATCCATCATTGTCTTCTAGCAGGTATGTTTAACGTGACTGATGGGAAATGGATCTGTACTAGGGACCTTTAAAAGAGTTATGGTTACATTTGTAATTTGTAATAGAATTGCTTTCCAGTAGCAGTTCTATTTCCACTTTTACACCAGATAAACAGATCCTATTAGAACAGTTAAGAAATGTTTCCTGAAGAATTATTATGATAGGCTGTATTCATAAAGTAAAACTACAAAAAGCAATGGCAGCAGTACAGTTACAGGTAAGCTGAAGTCATCCCAGTCTTCATTTGTTTTCATACTGCTTGCACTTCACTTGAAGGAAGTGGGCTGTGTTCCTGCTTTTATAGAAAATGCAGTTACATAGGCTGGAATTAAAAATATGTATTGAGTTATACAAATTCCCAGTCTGATTCAGTATTCTGTGTTTTGTTATTTCTCTCTCATATAAAGAAATGTCCTTTTGCTTTTAATTTCTGTAGTAAAATATTTCCTTTCTATGCTTCATCATAAAACAAGTTTAAAGCCACAATTTAGCCTTTAATCTGAAATTTAGCATGTAACATATCAAAGTAGCAGAGAGGGAGAGCTATATTTAAATAGTGGGCAAAAGTAGTAGGGTCATCCAGTAAAGTAGCTCAATTTCTGCAACGGAGAGTTTTAAACAGCACATTGAAACGAAAATAATAGTTTCCACTTCTCATTGTAGAATTTGTAATGAGATGTTTCCATTAATTCATCTTAGAAATAGATTCTATGTCAAGTGGAGCACTGTTTCCTTTTCTTCTTTTAAATACAATGTTGTATGATCATACATTGTATGAACATGCCTGTTGCAGTGCAACCTTTCCTAGAGGTGCTGACGCTATTAGTAAGATAACCACCCGGCTTCCAGACCCTCCATTCTGTTACACACTAAATCACTTGGTATTTTTCGTTAATAACTATGCCTCCTTTCTAATTATATCATTAAATCATAAGAGATGGAGCTATTTCTATATATTCACTATTTTATGGTAAAAACATAATTTGGCATCCTTGCCTTCCCTGAGATAGATTCTCACTGCTCCCTTTGTCTTTCTGTGTTTTCTCTCTCTGGATCTGGCTCTTCTCAAAGGACCTGTGTTTGTTTGGAGCACACTGGTCTGCTCCACTCAGGCTTCAAAAGACAGAAAAGATTAGTTCCTAATGATTTCTCTAACCACCCTAGTTCACTGAAAAACCCACAAGAAGAAATACCCTTATCACTGGTAATGATCTAATAGTTCCTGTGCAATAGTATAAACAGAGGATTCTGTGAGCAGAAGCGAAGCATAATGTTCTGTTTCTATTTCAGGGTTTCAGAACCTGATCCGAATCACACTCTGGAAGAGAGGGTTGTCCACTGGTATTTCAAGCAACTTGATAAAAATTCCAGTGGTGACATTGGAAAGAAGGAAATCAAGCCATTTAAGAGATTTCTGCGAAAGAAGTCAAAACCAAAAAAATGTGTGAAGAAGTTTGTGGAATACTGTGATGTGAACAATGACAAATCTCTGTCAGTTCATGAACTAATGGGCTGCCTGGGAGTAACAAAAGAAGAAGGTAAAGCAGATACAAAGAAACGCCATAGTAAGAATCTTTTTCTATTCTTTAACTAGATTTTTTAAAACCAGGCTAAGATATTATATTTCACAGGGCACATACACATAGGATGTTACAAAAAGATATTACAAGTGTGAGAAGAGAAAAAGGGAAAAACACTTAATGGAAAATAGATGGATGGATGTCATTAACCCCCATCTTACAAATGAAGAAACTGAAATATGTTTAACAGCCTACATCTCCTTTAAAATACTGAGTCAAAGCAAAGAGGCTTGGGTGTAAATAATGGCTTTACCCATTTACAGACATATTAAGGCAACTTTGCACCACAGGAGCCATTTACAGTTGTCTTAGTGTAAAGCAAAATTAGGCTCCTGAGGCAGAATTCTGTTTCCCTTTCTCCATTGCACTTAGGCACAGAGAGCAACATGCCCTGCCTCATGGGCACGTGGCCCCACAGCGACCAGTCAGCAACTGGAGGGGGAGGGGGTCCCCCATGGCCAATCTTGCTGACCGACAGGGGGGGTCTGACCGGGAAGCAGACATGGTGCTCCTGGAAGTGGCTGTGGCGCTTCATCTGGCACTCCCACTCCCCAGCTGGAGCTTGCAGGGGGGCCCCAGTGTTCCCGCCTGGCCCCCTCCGCCCATCACCTAAGTGGGGAGCGCAACCTGTCAGGGGTGCACCAGTACTCTCAGGGGGTGTACGTGCACCCCCTATACGTTGCCACTGCCCTGCCTGTGGACACAAATGTGTAGACTGCCTGTATGCAATATACCAGGGGTTCAATAACCTGTTACTAATAGTGGGACACAGCTGGCAACCTGACCACCACAAAAGTCATAGCTCCCTTGCTGCCACCCCAGCTGTCCCTGCTCTGTGCTGGGGGCTGTTCACTCACTCTCCTAATAGAGCCATGGCAAAAACACACCACCAAAAAGCATGGCGAGTGACAGTTTGGATTAGCTAATTCTGCAGCAACAGAAAACAGAGGATGCAGTGGGGAAGCAAGAGAGTAGCCCCTTGCACAGAGTAGAAAAAGTTGGGATAGTGTCAGGGGGTCAGCCTTCCCTTAGCAAACCATGGAATGCAGATTGGGGCTAAATTGGAGAGCTGGGCAGTATTAGGGGATTAGCACAAATTAACAGAACGCAGGCCTAATCAGACCTTTGTGGGCCATAGGTTGCCAACTTCTGCAATAGACTATACAATCACTGGGCAGGTAAACAGCTACTTGTGCACACCCTTTGCAGATGGATACATATGTCTCATTCACAAAAGTATAGCTAACCAGAAACCTATGATTAATGGGTGTTAGATGGAGAAGGACTCTCTCGTGTTCTAGCCCCAAGAGCCAGATGAGTGGAGCATTCACCAAAAAAGCAGGAGACCTGGTTTCTAGGCCCCACTGTCACTCAGAGGAGACATGAAATGTCATCTGCTTGACTTTCCAGCATAGCGGTCTAACCACGACACCCTACCTCTGTCCACCCACTCTCTTGTGAGATTGGGTGGAGTAATAGCCTCGTGGACCTGCTTCCCACCCTGGATTCAGAGTAGCAATCTGGGTTAATGCACTGTAGCTCCTTACTAGCCATCTAAATGCACATGACAGTCTTCCCATTCTTATATTGAATCTTAAGGATGCCTTTCAACTGGCAAGGCTAATGCTCTTTTGCAGTTTCTATAAGGAAAGTGAAGGAAATGTCTCCAGACATTTTACCACATTTCCATGCTCTTTGTTCTTGAGGGAGATTAGAATTAAATTCCAAGGAATAAATGAGTTTGCAATGTCTAGCATTCACACAGGACATGACAACATTCATTAAACAAGCCTAACTTATTTACTGGGAAGGATCCTGTTAGTCAGCTTTCAAGTCAGTCCAGTGAGTGGGCAGCTGTGTTACTGAGAGGGGGAAAGAAGAAAATTCACATTTCAGTTAGATACTCAGAACAAAATGCTCATTTATGAAGAAAGTATGCGGTACTTTGTAGAATGGCATTTCACAATGGGGGCTTCCTGTTCTGGGGAATGTGACTCATAACAACATGTAAGCCATTATCATAACACTTTCCGCACTTTTTTTCCCCTCTCTCTTTATCAGCCCCTAAATCTAATGCTGAAAGCACTTCTTCCAACAGGCAGGTGAGTACTGGGCACAACCTCTTCTCTTCTCCCTCACCATAAGGAATTTCCCAACTGCTATTGTTGCAGCTTTGAGGCTCCATTTACAGATGATGTTTATTCACTTCTCTGTGGCTAGAAGTGGGGGAAGAATTTCCACATGCAGATACTCAGCAAGCAGCCATATTAGTAAGGGATTCTCCACATAGGCTCTCTCAGGAAAACTAAAAAAGTCGACTGAAGGTGCAAAGTCAAAGTGCACATTTAAACCACATAAAACACACACATGGACATTTCCATTCAAGAATAAAGTGGTCTAGGATCATTGTAATTAAACCGTCTTATGGAACTCATTAAGATATGGTGATACTTTGCATTTGAAAGGGAGGCCCAACACAGAGATTTAAATAGGTTTTAATTTATGCTGGGGTTGTCAAACTCACCCTGGGCTGAACTTGTGCCATGGGGGCCTTTACAGGCCAGATCTGGCACAGGACACAGCAGTGGTGGATCCAGCCTGGGGCTCAGGACAGTGGCCGGACAAGCAGAGCTGCGTTGGCACAGCCTTTGCTCATCCTCCTGTCTCTGAGGGCTATGCCCCCAGGGTAGAGGAGCCCCAAATGCTGCAGCAGACCTCCACACTGCCACACCCCCAACTTTTCCTCACCTGCTGGTAGTGCAGCAAGCTGGGGAGAATGTCTCCACCAGCTGGATGCTTGACACCCCTGATTTATGCTATCAGGTCCCTGACTTTGGCTGATTGCCGCTGATATTCCTGACAGCCCCCAAGTACACATGATCTCAGGCTGGTTGACCAGCTTTCCTATGCAGAGGACCCACACAAAGTTTACATATCTCTTTAAACGCTCTTTTAACAATCAGAAATATGTGTTTTTAACATGATACAATCCTAGTGCAGACAAAGCAATTGTAGCTTTAACATCTATTGACTGGTAGATGTAAACCTTATGTGAGGAAAGGGGAATTTAGGGTTCACCTTGACCAGCAGATGTGTTACGACTACAGTTTATAATCTTTACAGCAAGCCACCTTTATTTTTCTGGTAAACACATGGCTCTAGAGATCCTAAATGCTGTGTAGGACAGGATTTTAGTCCTAGTGTTCTGAATAACACCACCTTACATTATTTGGAAATTACTGACGGTGTGCTTGGTTCTGTACAGCACACAAAATTCTAACAGGGTATGTTATAATTAAGACAAGATGGGCACCCAATACACAGGATGCACTAAAAAGCTCCAGAGAAGGTTTAGAAGATTGCGCATTTTGTATGGACCCTGTTTTTGTCTGAATGCTTTTATAGTTCTATATTCTTAATGCTAACAGTTCTCTTCATCCGGGCATCATGGGGATAACTTCCTGTTACTTTGATGCCAGGCACTCCACTAAGAGAAGCACTTCAACCATTTTGTATCCAAGGACGCTTGTACATGTGATGATGTCATGATGTACACATGATGAAAATTTACTTTTGTGATGCTTAATGGCATCATACATTATATGTATGTGAGTTTTGAGGGTTTTAGATGAGTTTGCATCATTGCAAACTACACTACTTACTGATGTAGTATATGCATTGCAGCTATTAGTCAGCTTACCCCCTGGCCATGTGGGAGGCAGATAAGCTCCACAGAAAAAAAGGATCAGGCCCCTCACTGGCACCTGCTGAAGGCAGAAGCAGTGAGGAGCCTGGTCCTTTTTTTCTTTTTTTGGCAGATCCTGCCTGCAGCCTGTGGGGGAGCTGCTGGTGGGCTGAGTGGCCTCTGAGCTGTAAGCTGCCCTGGTCCTTCTCGCCACAATGGCAATTTGGTACATTAAAGTAATGGTTCAAGAGATTATACAATAACATTAAAGAGAGAATGAGTTCTCATAGAAAAATGACATAATTGTGGTTAATTATTCATCACCTACCCATCCATCAGAAAGTCAGATTACTTGTCAAAAAACAGAACACAAGGTGAAATTGATACAGCATCCCCAAAAGCTATTTGTCTGTTTGCTGCTAGTCAATTTGTTACTTACTGTGTCTCTAGATTTGTTTGATGTGAGGTTCACACTTCCTAAGGCAACCTCTACATTTGTTGTGGGTTTTAACCAGAGACCTCCTACACACCTTTGATGGAATGTAAAATGCTCTCATAACTAAAGAGATGCAATAAGTTTCTTTTTGTCTAAACAAATGTTTATGGTCTTAACTTTGCAAATCCCCCCCCACAAATCACTTACAAGGCAGCCTGAAAACAATTACTATGGTGGAACACAAAAAATGTTCAAAGGGTTATTTTAATTATATAATAGCAATTACTGGCGCACGTGCATTACACTCAAAGCATAATATGCCTTCCTCTCTCCTTTTCCTGTAATCTGATTCTTACATGTATAATCTATCATAAAAGAGCCCTAATGGTTCCATTTAAAAAAAAACCAAAACTTTCAGTATTTTTGCTGACTCAGCGTCAATTATTTTAAAAGCTGTTGCTGAGAAATGAGAGCCTTGAATTAAGGCCAGTTGTGCAAACCCTGTGTTGGCAGTTACATACTATAACAATGCGTGGCTACAAATGTACCTCACAAATGCAAGAGGTGGCTTTCATCACAAAAGCTTTCGGTTGAAAGTAAGCCATTGGAAATGAGCTAGCCTGAAAAGAGTCTACTCAAAATAAACCACACACGTAAAAAGGAACAATCAAGTCAGCATCATTTTGGAGATGGGCAGTTGAACGCGGGAGGGGCCACATTATTTTTCTTTTCTTGTTTTAAATGGAAGAGTTATCAAACACTTCAGTACATTCTGTACATTGAAAGGAAGGGTTGGAGGAAGGCAGGCGGTCAGGAAGAAAATGTAAAAATATTTACCAACTCACCATCCCATGCTGTCTCATACGTAATTTCTGTGAGGTAAAATGTATAACAGATCTCCAAAAGGTAGGTAAGTAGCTACAAATAATTCCCTTATTCAATTTCCTGTTTCCACCATGCATATGTACATGCACACACACAGTATCAATTAGATCCATAATAGAAAAACCTTTACCTTGAATAAAAGTTACAAAACCCCTATTGTTTGTACATGTTGCATTAGTCAGTGACCCATTTCCTATGCAGCAAATGCCATAAAACACACACACACACACACACACACACACACACACACACACACACACACATATATATATATATATAGAGAGAGAGAGAGCGAGAGAGAGAGAATTCTATATGATAGCAGCTCTCATGTGAGTGGGGAGCCAAGATAGGCATATATAGCATGCTGGGTTAACCTTTCTTGGCTCCCCACATGAGAGCTGCTGTTGCATGGAATTCTACGTTTAGCAGAAACCAACACAGACGCAAGGAAGTACAGACTCAAGGAAGTCAGAGGGAGAAGGTGTTAAAAAGGTTTATGCCATTCTACATGAACAGCATTTTGTCTCTTCAGGTCAGTTTTTCATGTGTATTTGTACAGCCCTTAACACTATGGCGTCTTATCCTGATAGTGGCCTAGAAACCCTCATATAATGTAAATAATACATCTTTGTATTTTAATGAATTTACTTGAAAGCATCAGTAGTAATGTGGCTTTTTCAAATATCTCTTTTTTAGCAGGCTTCTAAGAAGCAAGGATGAACAGTTTACATATCCAAGGCAGATCCCTTTGACATGTGGGAGATTTCCTCACCAAAAGGCAATAAAAACAACCGTAGTATTTGCACTTTGTACTTTAAAATGTAAATTCACTTTGTAGAAATAAAATATTTAAACAGACTTTTTTTTTTAATCTGTGAAAATGTAAAAGCTAGTTTTGAAAAATTATCACATACAATGTATGTGCCTTCCTTTGTTGTCTGAAACCTGTACGTGTTGGAGATGTAAAAGTTTGCATTTTAACCTTTTTTATTTTAAAAAAAAAATAGCTTTCTGGCAAACATTGCAATAGAAACCTGAACTCTAACTAATTTGGTTTCAGTCATATGCCTTGTTTTTCCTAACCAGTACAGTCATTTAAGTGTAGTTATACTTAAAAATCTACTGTATTCACAATTTTGTCCAAGCAATGTTGGAGGTTTGATGTTTCCAAGGCTAAGGAAAGTGCGTAAATTGCTGCTGACTTATTTTTGCAGCTTCCAAGTAAATGGATTCTTCACTGTTGGTGATGTTTTATTTTGTCTTGTTCTTCTTGTTATTGTGGCTTCCAAAGATCATGTAATAAAAATGCAACCACTAATAGATTCAAACAGTTCTTCTATGGTTAAGTCTCTTGTAGAAAAAAAAAAGTTTTTTCATCTGTTTCTGAGGTGCCTTCCTTTATAGGTTTTGTTAGGGGTTTTTGTTTAGTTATGGTTTTGTTTGAATGATTAACAAAACAAACTGAGAAGGAATAGGATAGATTATTGTGTCATTCAAATTCAGCTCTACTGAGCCTGAGATGATGTTCCTGCAATCAGCATAAAGCACTAAAGGGGCATATTTGTTCAGGATTGTAAATCTAATTATGAAGAGACAAGAAAAGTTAAACAGATTTGTCTGCCTTTTCTTTCCCCTACACCTGGCTGAGCTCCCATCTGCTCCTTGGGATGCCCCAGGGTCTACTAGAAGGTAAAGCTATCATGGAACAAATTATGAACAGTTGCCATAAGGAGGTGCAGTCAGCATAACCCCTGCCTTGGGCATTGTTTTTGCTGTCTGGGAGAAGTTTCTACACGTTTTCATACCTTCTCTGTTATTTTTTCCTTTTTTTTTTTTTTTTTTTTTGTGTGGAGTGCCTTAAGGGAACATCAGCTTGCAGCTGTGAGCTTCATAGCAGGGGACTTAAATAAAAGGTTCAGCCCTTGAACACAAATGAATTATAAGCAGTTAAACAGATCAATGCAGTGACAAATACTCTGCTGGTATTTAAAGCTGTCGTATGTGAAGGGGATGTTACAGTGAGCAGCAATGTTATTCCATTTGCTTAAAATAATGTGTGGGACCTGATATGTGAAGAATGAGTAGACTTACTAATCATAATGGTGTCCTGGATCAAACTCATACCTAGGAAATCTTTGTTGCAAATAAGAATTATTCATTTAAATGCCACACACACTATCGTGCTGTTAGAAGACTGCATATGCATTGGAATTGTACAAAAAGGAATTTAGTACTCTAAGCTTTAGCAGGGTGGGGCAGGAACCAAGATGCAGATGTTATCTTTGTAAAAGCATTTTTGATTCAAAATTAATTTGATATCTTTTTGCAGTGCTAATCTTTGAATTTATTCATCTTCTTAGATTAAAGCTCAGTACTCTAGCAAACCTGGTCTGGTGGATTCTTTTCTATGCTATGTCTACCCTTCATATTAAGAGGGTCAATGAAGTAAATGATTGCAAACTTTTCTTTAGAACCTATTTCTTCTGACTTTCCCACTCCCCTCAGCACTGATCCATGCTATCCAAGCTCTTATTGGGCCGTTATCATTCTGATATTAGGAACTTTTTGAGGCCGCATAATAAAAAGCTAGTTAGTACTGAATTACACAATCCACAAAAATATAGAATGGGATTTTGCTTACAGTGACTCCAAGCAAACTCATGATCTTATACTGTGTCAACTTCTCTTCTGCTCTCACGCTCCTTGCCTATTGTCATACATCCCTTAAATTAGCTACAATGTAAGTTTCTCAAATAGGGGTATGAACTTACGGTGCCTGTAGACATGCCCAGAGACTGCTCCAATGCGTTATAATTACAGTGCATTGGAGCAGACTCGATTAATCAAGTTGGATGGAGTGTGGTAATTAGCATGCTCCAGCCAGCCTTCACATCTTGTGTATCAGCATTCCTACACTTCAAAATGGCAGCAGGGGCACTTTAACTAAAGTTCATTCGTCAAGCTTTAGTTAAAGTGCCCTGCTACCATTTTGAAGCGTGGGGACACTGATACACGAGATGCTGGAAGGGCTTTAATTAGAGGGCCCTCCCCACCCCCAGAGCACATGTAAAAACTCTGTTAGATTGTCGACTGGGGTAGTTTCAATTGACTTCAACCTAGCTATTTTCGTTCTGGAAAGTGCCATGAATACACTTAAGGTAGTGTATAAATATTAATTTTATCAGTGCTGTAAGGTACTAAACATGAGTAGAGGAGCTGACCCACCCTCAGCTACATATCAGCTGTATGATAGAAAAGGGTATTAAGAATGCTCAGAACCTCTTACAACCCCCTCAACATCTTGCAAGTTTGGGCCCCATGTGATTAACACCAGACTTTGTAGTCAGGATTCTGTACCTACATCGCTTTGCCCTTTAAAAGAGATTTTACAATGTGCGTACTGGAACAATTTGTTAAACTTTCCATGAAGCAAAATGACATCCTTTTTCAAACATAGAGGGGTAAGAATTTTTGGTTAGTCATTTGTTCTGGCTGTTTATAGAGTAGTCCTAGGTGCTTTTTAAATTTTAAATAAATGTTATGACCATTCTATTAAATATCTGAAGGAAAGTATGGGATCTAGTCATGCAACTCTTAAGAAAATCAGAGACTAAATCCTCAGGAAGCTATTTGAGAATATAAAGGATTATATCCATGTAAATATTTCCCCATCACCACTATGATTTGCCCTGAACTTCCTGCAAATGAACTATTATAAATATTGCACAATTCTTACAGTTGTAATTGGAGATGAGCAGAAACCAAAAGCCATGATAGGAACACACCTGAATGCTGGTAAAATTCAACTCTGGCCTCTATATCTGCTCGAAGACAAATCTAAGCCCTAAATCTATACATTCAGAAACTAGAGGGAATGACATATTTGCCTGCTGCAGGTAATAGAATAAGGGTGGGATGGCATAGCCTTCATTTTTTAGTTGTACCAGTAACAAAAACATTTAAACAGTGACCCCCTCTCTAATTCCTGCCTCCACCTTTTTTCACAGATCTTGTGCTATGACCATTATTAATGATAAAATACAGCCCAGCTCATATAAGTGGTGTATAGTGACAGGAGCAATCTGTTGTGTGTACATGGATATTTTCCTACTAAAATAAAGTCAATGTGTAGGCATCTTTTCATCAGAGATCATACTGGTTCTTAAAATTAGAGCTCTATAAAAGTTTCTTACTGTGGTTTGTGTATTGAAATACTTTTTGTGCTGTCATAAGTCCACTCACCACCTCTTTTGTTTCTTTAAGAACAACACCTCCTATACTGAGATCCACTCATCACATAAAGAACACCTACAGCTATCTATTGAATGAAATGGATAAGAAGCACTGGAACAGTTTTTGCCCAACTTAGAGCAGAGGCCAAACACAGTATCCAGGACCGCCTCCCATCCAGGGCCACATCTATCTCACTTAGCCACACAGCCTTTGGTTCATATACTACCTTCCGGCACCATATATCTCCCTCTCTGCCTGCCTAGTGGGCGAGCTTCGAGGATTATGCAGTAATCATTGCATAGCCCCTCTGGGTTCACTATAGATTTATATATATAAACCAGCAGCGTCTAGTGCAGGGTACTTGACATTATATTTGTCTCACTGAATAATACTAATGAATTTTAAAAATGTCTGCATTTATCTTTTTACTACAATAACAAATACTAAAACAAATGGATAACAAACAATACATGAAAATGTACAAAGAAAACTTTAAAATCACTATATACATAATTATATATTCATATACACATACATTATATCTGAGAGTTGCTCTCAACACAGATTGAATCCACCTCCTCTGGAGCTCTTGGATGGATCCAATGTGCTAGTGTTTTATTTCTTCTTCCCATCAGGTGCTCAGAGCAGGATACACACCTCATTGGTTGAGAGGAAAGTCATCCAAATTCCCTCAACCTCCTTCAGTTCCTGGGACACTGGATACATTTGTCACCCCTCTGCCAGCAGAAGCCAGAGCTCACCCAGCCCTAATCAGTCAGTATTTTCAATAGCACAATCCATTTCAGTAGAATAGACTGACCTTTTTCACAGAGAGATCTCCCAACTACCATACATACCAACCTGGTCACTAGGATTGTGCTTTGTCCCCCTTGACCTCAGTGGTACTCCCAACATGACCACTGGCCACCACCAAACATGCCAAAAGGGTCTCATTAACCTTTCCAAGATCAGCACATTTTGAAAAGTTCTCTCCTGCAGTACAAGCAGCTTTCATGTGCACACAGGTTGGTTATATAAGGTAAAATAGGATCTGGCCCTTAAGTCTGATCCACCACCTTTACAAGAAGAGTGACAGAACTTGATGCTCAAGTGAGATGAAAGTAACTGTGAGTTTCAAATAAGGGTTTTTGAGAGAGATACACCATTAGGCTAAGTACAGAAAGTCAGAAAGCCTGAGGTAGAATCAATTCAATCTATGTGGCTTTCTCTAAACTGCATAGATTGGACCATTAACAAACAGAATACATGTTCACTCATCAGTTGGCCAAGGAAGGCAGGTGCCTGCACTGGCCAAGGGGGGCACTTGCACACACCTCCCAGCTATTCTGGGCTGCAAATGCCCCAGCTCCACCTGCTCACTGGCCCCCTGCCTGTTAGCCATAGGTGGGGAATAGACGCCTCTCCAGCCCTGACCCCCCAGCTGGGGTCTGCACAGTGGGTTGGGGGGAAAGCCCCCAAGGTAGGGTCTTTCTCCCTCACAGCATGGCTCTGGTATGCTGTGAATGTCCCAGCCCCACCACCTCACCAGAACCCCCGTCTGTCAGCTGTGGGGGTGAGGCAGGGAAGGAATAGACTCTCCACTCTGGCCCCCAAACTGGGGTCTGCACAGTGAGGGAGGGGAGCCCCCAAGGCTGGCAGGAGGCAGGGGGATGGTGACAGGGTGGAGCTGGGGTGTCCACAGTCTGGCAGAGCCATGGTGTTGGTGGGGAAAGCTTCACCTCAGTGGTTTCCACTCCACCCACTAGGGGGTTGGGGAGGAGGTCTGTTCCCCCATCCCTCCCCGCCCCCCCTGCAGCTGACAGGCAGGGAGCTGGTGAGGAAGAAGGGCTGGGGCATTCTAAGCCTGACAGAAACACACTTCTACCATCACCTGTGGTGCAAATTTGGGCTTGGGGGCTCAGACCAGAGCAGGAATCCATTCCTTCCTCTGCCCCAGCCACCCACTATGGCTGAGAGGCTGAACAGGACAGCAAGTGGGTGGGGCTAGGGCAGCAGATCCATGCTGCATGAGGGGAAAGCACCCATCTCTGGCAGCTTCCCTCCATCCCCCCACTGTGCAAACCCTAGCTGAGAGGACCTAGAGCTAGGGCAAGGATCCATCCCTTCCCTTGCTCACCCCCATGCTGCTGCCAGTGGAGTTGGGGAGGCTGCCTCAGCTCCATAACAGTCATGGGTGAGACCGCCTACCTGGACTGTAGCAGACATAGGCAACAGAAGGCCAGGGCTAATGGGACTCAGCCCCCACAAATGTGGGGCAGTGGGTAGGGCTGCAAGTCAGCCCGGTCACGGGTTCCAGGTGGCTGCAGCAGGGGTGGCGAGGGATGCACATGCAGCCAGGATTGCAGGCCAGTGTGTGGATCACTGGCTGCCCAGAATGGCTGGCAAGTACCAGTCAGTTCTGTGAAGGGGAAGAGGCTGTGGGGGGCAGATTGAGGCCCCTGCAGTGAGGAAGGGAATGGGGTAAAGGCAGGGGTAGGAGCTGGGGTGAATGGGTCCTCAGCTGGGCTGGGTAGTGGGACAATTGGAGCTTGGGCTGCTCATCCAGGATTGGGGGGGGGCGGGCTCCCACTGCTGTGCACACCTCAGCAAAGTCCTGGGGGGCACATGCCCCACTGATCTGTGCATGAGGCAGAAGGAGCTTCCACTGCAGGTTGAGCTCTGCACGCTGCTCCAGATGCTCCAGGAGTAGTGCAACACCCTGTGTCTGCTGGGCTGTACCACACCCCCACCCACCTGGTGGCAGGACGCACACGCCATTATGCAGCTCTCAAGGCAGTGGGGTGCAAAGCCCAGTATGAAGTGACAGCCACCTCCACCGTCCACACAGATTCGGAGAGTCTGTGCCTGCTGGGCCTCCACCAGGGTGTGCACAGCAGCGGGAACCCCCCTGTGCTCCTGGACGAGCTGCCCAGGCTCTGACTGTCCCACCACCCATCCTGGCCGGGGCCCTATTCACCCCAGCCCCTGTCTGTGCCTCTGATTCTGCCCCACTCTCTCCTTCACTGCTGGGGCCTCTATCTTCCCCCCACCCCCACCCCATAGCCCTTTCCTTTCCCCTGCCCCTTCCCCCACAGACTTACCTGCTGGGCAGGGAGGGGGACATGGGCTCAGCCTCCCTCC